GCATGTTGGAGGCTAGAAAATTGCTAGCTTAATTAGCTTGAGAAATGATGCATTTGCATTGATGTTTAGGTGTTATAATGGACCAACCTATTGCTTATTCTTCATATGGAACATGCTTGTATGATGAATGTTAAATATTTGAAGAATTGAGCAATTTGTGTGAACTTTAGGAGTTTAGGTTAAATATATGCATAGTGCATGTTTCTTGGCTTAAGTTTTGCTCGTAAATTGGTCTTGTTACAATATTGTGATGTTTATAAAGTGCCTAGTTATGTCTTACACTTGTTTTTCTAGGCATTTTGAGTGAAAATGTTTAAATGCTTATAAATTTGGGTTGCATGATTTGTACCTTAAGTAGTTTTTCATCTATTTTATATTGGTACAATAACAAGTCAAAGGCATGAAGTTACTTGCTAGAACTCTTCATGCCATTGCAATTTTTGCATTATTTGAACCTTAAGTAGTTTGTTTGCCATTTTCGCTTCTTAGGCTTTTATTACTACTGGTTATCATGCACCATTGTTACTCACTTGGCACGTCACCCCTCTGATCATGCACCATTGTTACTCTCTGCTGGTACAAGGTTGGATGGTAAGCCCCGTCCGTTTCGATTCATCAATGCTTGGGCGGATCGTGACGATTTCTTGGCGGTGGTAAGAGAGTCCCGACAACAAGAGTGCGGTGGGCCCCCGATGCATGTGCTCTGTTCTAAGTTACAGAGACTCAAGTGGCATCTTCAATTGTGGAACAAGGACTGTGTGGGGAATTTTTCGAACAATGTAGCAAAGGTAGAAGAGAAGGTTGGAAAGTTAGAGAGAAGATTAGAAGATGGGGGGTCGGAGGGGCTGCATGTGGAGTTACAGCAGGCCCAAGCGTCATTGAGATGTGCATTAGCCATGGAGGAGTCGCTGTGGAGGCAGCGAGCTCGGGTCAAATGGCTGACTTTAGGTGATTGTAATACTAAGTTTTTTCGTTCGGTGGGAAAGCAACAGCATATGAACTTGATTATTCATCGGATTCAGAAGCCTGATGGGAGATGGGTTAATGAGGATGCGCTCATTGGCGAGGAGGCGGTGCAGTATTTCTTATCCTTATTCTTATTGGAGGATGCCCCTGGGATGCGAGATGTGCCCGATATTATTCCCCGATTGGTATCTATGGAGGACAATGAGCGGTTGGAGGAGGTTCTGTGACGCCCCCACTTCTCTCTAAGGCGAACCAAAGGGTATCTGCGGGACGCCTACCCAGCTCTCGCCAGGACTCACGCAAAACATTCAAACTTGTTACTAATCTAAATGTCATAAGTACAACGACATAAATATAATGATGCGGAAGCGTTCAAGTTAACCATGATCATCCATTATTCACCCCGTACATCGGGTGTTCAAAATACAACCTTAAACCCAAATTTACCTCATGCCCAAGTACTACATTCCAATTACAAAAGTACAACCCAAAACCAGGAGTCATAGTCAAACAGATGACAGAAACCCTAAACAAAAGTACATCAGGAGGGTTTCTCCAATACGTCCCCGGATCCAGTCCTGTTAAGGAAAACAAATCTACAGGGTGAGCAAAACGCTCGTGAGGCCAAGAACACACATGCAAGCACATTGTTCAAATAACAATCTCAATTTACAAGTCAAGCAATCATATTTTCATAATTAACAATTTACTGAAAATATAACCAGAAACAATTCAAGGATACAAGAGCTCTCAGGAGCTATATTCCACTTGCACATTCAATAACCTCCACGAATTGACACTCCGTCAATCGAGTAGGTTTAGTCCGTAGAACTCCACTTAATCTGTCCCCTTTCACCTTACATACCCCTGTATCAGGCCCGCCTGTCATTTGTTTGTGGCGATACTACTCGAGTATGCCAAGCAAGACCTCTCATTAGGTCAAGCTTATATATCTCATGGCTCGCCAAGGTTCCCGACCAAGCCCATGCCGGCTCGAGTCCAAGGTCGGCCAATGAGATTTGGGCGTCCCCATGTGCACTTGTGTGTCGAGGAGATTCACTCCAACAACGTATGCAGCTATAGCATACCATTACATTTCATTCATTCAGTCAATACATTTCAATCATTCATTCAATGCATTTCAATCATTCATTCAATACATTTCAATCATTAAAATTTCATTTCTAATGAGAACGAGTGTGGTAAAGTACACACTCGACTCCACTTTCAAGATTTCCAATCATTAATAACAATTAAACATGTAACAAGTTTACATACACATGACACTCACCAAATATTAGGTGTAAGTAAGGTCAAGGAAAGTTCAAGCGTCCACCGTGGGATCCTCTTGAAGGTCCTCGTGTGCGCCTGAGCAAATAATAGTGAATTATCATTCATATCCCAATTATCGAGGAATAATTCGATCACTAGTATTAATCTAGGGAATTCCGTGAAAATGAACCTCAATTACTCGTAAATCAAGGTTCGAGTGGGGTTTGATAACATTCAAAAGTATTTAAGTCTTTATCTAGGAAATCGGGGATAAAACGTTTAGATAATATCAAAAGAATAAAGAGTTCTTGAAAAACTCTATTTACTTGAAAGTTGGAAAATTTCAGTTTTGTTATGAATCTTTGAAAAATCGTAACTCACTCGGAATAAGTCGAGAATTGGAAAACTTTATACCGTTGGAAACCTCTCAGAAAGTACTACAAGTTCCTAGAAGACACTTTTCCATGAATCGAAGTGGAAAGTGCTCAAAATTGAGCTTGAAGGTACTGACTCGGTTCACAAGGCAGAATTAAGTTGGATTTTGGCCAACTTTGAAAATTCGGCACGATTCACACGTTACGAATCGGCCCCTGAAATTTGTAACTCAATTAGAGTTGCAAGTGAGGTTTATAGCAGAGCAAGCGGATCAAGAATCGGAGTTTCGAGTACCGAAATACGGTAGCTCGAAGTTGGAGAAAATTCAAGACTGGAGAAGAATTTCCAGATTTGAACTTCCAATACTAGAAGTTTAGTTAGGTATCGAAACGAACTTGGATTAGTACCAAAATTGGTAGTATTTTACTCTTATATGAAGGGTATCTCTCTATCAAATTTTGTGGAAAAATACCTTCGGAAAGGTGGTTAACCAACCAACCAAAGTTTGGAAAAATTCTTAAGGCAATCTGCCTTTAATCCTTTTCTTCCCAAATCCAATCGTTTGGCTAAGAAAATCCTCCAATCATGGTTCATATGTGAAAGGAAAGTCCAAGGATCATTCATGGTACATTTGGTAGGTGTTTAACACCAAGAATTTCATTTAGTAAGACCACAACAAGTCTCATCTCAAATCTGTCCAAAACTAGGTTTTTCCAAAACAGAGCAGTGTTCTTGTTTTGATCACAATTCAGTCGACCTAACTTGGAATTGAGCATGGTTTATGGCGTTGGAAAATACATTCATAGGGTTAAATATTCACAGAAGGAAACATTCTGAAATTTGGCAAACAACCAGCTCGAAATTGAGCCTCAAGTTGCTGCCTCTACAAATCATTCCAGCAGGACAAAGAAACAGGACAGCTATCTTAAAACGAATGGTCCGGTTCCTACACATGGAATCAGACTACGCATTTTATACCGTTGGAAAGGTATAGATGTCTAGTTTCAAACGCCACCAACGGAACTCAATTTCAACGTCGGAGAACAAAGTTATGGTCAAAATGCTACCGCTGGACAGGGTTATCCGAAAACTGTTTTCCCGCTTGACTAGTTCACAAATAAATTCATTTGCCCATCCAAACGTTAATGTTTTCCAATGAAAATTTTTACACATCTAATACAACATATAAAAATCAGGTCCAAGCCATTAGATCATCAAAAATTGGCCTTATCATAGCCGAACAAAGCAGGGGCAGTTTCGGAAATTTTTGTCATGACCTCCACTTTGAGTTTCCAACAATAATACTCCAGAAATCTATCATTTTAACCACTAAACTACCATTAAATCCAACATTAAACCTCTTATCAGCAACAACCCAAGGGTGGGAATTCATAGAGCCCACTTCCAAATTTTCCAACAATATCAAGCCATCCATATACATACAATTGCTTAAAGATGCATTTCTACTATCATAAACCAAGTTTAAGGTGTTGGATGATGTTATACCTCCTTAGTGCTTTAGATCAGAAAATTTTGGTCCTCAAGAGGCTCCAAGAAACCGTGAAATGCAGCCCTTTAGTTAGCTAGATCCAACCTCCAAGTAGTTTGCTAGTTGGTCTACAAGTTTGGTGAAGATTGGTTGGAGTTTTGTGGTTGATTTGGTGAAGAAATTTTTGAAACAATGGAGTTAGAGAGGGATAAGGCTGGCTTGCTGTAGGAGAGAGAAGAAAGAGTGAAATTTTGATCAAGGTTAGCTTCCAAGAGAAGATTAAAATGAGTGGTGTAAATTCACTCCAAGGTCAACTCTCATTAGGGCTCGTTTCGTGCGTTTAGCGCTCGATTTTCTCTCGCGTTTGGTTCACTAGTGCACTAAACCTCTAATGCACTTATGTCCATATAAATATTATTCGCTCTTAATTGTCCCGAAATAAGGGTCTAAAGTCCCTCAAATAAAGTCGCGCGTGTGAAAACGCATACCGTCAATTTTAACGCTATAACGCGAAACCTCCGAGAAATTCTTGTAACGATAATACTATTAACTATCACTTAAGTATTTAAATCTAAAATTATCTATTTTAAACCGTTGTACATGTCTCAAATTTTTCCGGGCTAATTGTACTCTTTATTGGCAAAATTTTTCCAAACGCGTTTTCACCTTTTCTCTAAACAAGCTCCTAAGAAAAAATTTTTTGAAACGAGACACTTTAAAAAAATGTAACGAAACCATAATATCATGTACTTAGGTCTAATGAGGCTAGAAAATAATAATCGAATCAAATATTTGAATAAATAATTAAATAAGAAAAAAAATTAGGAGTTAAAAATAATAATTTTACGAGTCCTCATAGGTTCTGTCCTTGGAGGAAGTCCGGCACACAGTTTGTGAAATGGATGGGAATAGTGCTGCAGGTCCTGACGGTTTCTCCGGCCGATTTTTCTCTGCTGCTTGGGAGATAGTTGGTGTTGATGTATATAACGCTGTTCAGAGTTTCTTTTTCTGCTCTGAGCTTCCCAGGCGAATCACTGCTACGTCCATAGTGTTGCTACCCAAGGTGCAACAATCGAAGGATTTCTCACAGTTTCGCCCAATTAGTCTATGCAACTTTGTGAACAAAATCTTCTCAAAAATTCTGGCCCGCCGACTGGCTCCGATATTACCTAAGATTATCTCCCCGAATCAGAGCGGGTTTGTACGGGGTCGGTCCATTTCTGACAATTATCTTCTAGCATAGGAGGTCATTGCAGGCATTAAGCGGAAGGCACGCGGGGTAATGTCGTGTTCAAGCTTGACATGATGAAAGCTTACGATAGGATGATGTGGCCTTTCTTGATAAAGGTCCTTCGCTCTTTTGGCTTTGGAAAACGCTGGATTGATATGGTCTGGCATGTTATCTCCAATGTTTGGTTTTTCATCATTGTAAATGGTTCTCTATGCGGTTTCTTTAAGTCAGCTCGGGGGCTCCGCCAGGGGGATCCTTTGTCGGCTGCTTTGTTCATCATCGAGGCGGAGGTGCTTTCTCTGTCTTTAAATCAGCTGGCGCATCGACGGGAGTTCCAAGGCTTCAGGGTCCCACGAGGCTGTCTGACTATTACCCATTTGGGGTATGCTGATGATGTGCTAATTTTCTCAAGTGCGACCGCCACTTCTCTCCGGCTGGTAATGAGGGTTTTAGATGATTAGGAGGCGTCGTCTGGCCAGCGGGTGAATAAATTGAAGAGCTGCTTCTTAGTTCATGCTAACTTGGGTAGGCCGAGGAGGATGGTGATCCAGCGGACTACGGCGTTCATGTGAGAACCCGTGGATTTTTCTTATTTTCTAGACTTTGTTTTATTTAATTGCATACCTTTTCTATGTTTCTTTATTAGGAAAATTTTTGTTTTTAGATAATTTTTATGAGTAAATATAGTTTTAAAATTATTTTTCTAGCATTAATTAGTTTTTGAGAAATTATGAGCGTATACCGGTTGTAGGACCCACTAGTGCGGTAAGTTTGATAAAATTCGACCAATTAGGTTAAGTTGTGTATACCGAGTTTAATTTATCAGATGTTAAGAGATAATTAGAATTTACCTAGATGGATTATTATGGGAGAAACAAAAGGATAGCGATGTATTAATTGGAGTGACAAGTGTCACTTGGAGGTTAATTCTTAACTTAGTCAACTTTGACCAACTTTCTTGCTTTACCAATTTAAGTCAAAATTTCCAAAAAATCATCCTCATTTTAAAGCTTCCTTGGCCAAACCTCTTGCTTGAGAAAAGAAAGAAAAAGCTTCCAAGTTTCTTGCTCCAAGCTTGCCCAATCTCAAAAACTAACCGTTTAATCTTGAATTTTTTCCATAAAACCTCTTAGTTTAGTGCTTGTAAGGTGATTAGTGAAGTGGTTTGGAAGGCTAAAGTGCTAAGTGGTCTCCTTTCTTGAGTTGATAAGGTGAGTAACTAAGAAACCTCTCTTCTCTACCTAATGATGTTTAATTGATGGCTTGTGGTAGTTTAAGAGGTGCAATTGTGGATTACTTCATGATTTTAGTGAGATTGATGACATTTTCTATTTATTTATGATTTTTCTGTTTTAATATGATTCATGTGGTGTGGCCATGTATGATGATTGGAAATGATCTAGAATGAAGCCTTAATGGGTGAATGGTAGTTAATTGCAGAAAATTTCTGTTTTGGGAGGAAAATTGGAAAGTTACGGTTTCATTTCCCTAATTCTGCCCGGCACTGTTAACCATAGTTAGAGGCCGAATTAGTTTTAGATTAAAACATGAAAGTTGTAGGGAATGATATTTAGATTTGCCTGCTAAAGTTCAGGCCAATCGTAGTAGCGTACCTTGTGAAAAGACCGAAATACCCTTGTTGCCCTGTTCTACCCGAACTTGAGAATTGCTTCTGTAGTTGGCTAATTTGATTGGGAAAATGACTGATTTGGTTGTTGTGATCTTCTGATGAAATGTAGCCTGATGTCTTAACTTTCGGATGGATTTGGAATCACATGATTTGGACTTAGGTAACCTGAATTACGGTTCGTTAACCAGAATGCGGTTTGTTAACCTGTCTTTACGGTTCTGGTTTAGTATATTTAATTTTTGACCTAGTTGCACTACAAACTAGACTGAGTGGCCTTCTTCAACATTGTAGCCTATCTCTTAGCTTCGAAACGGTGTATCTTGCACCTCCATCCGATAATCGTAGTGCCAATGGTGCCAAAACCGCTAAATGATGTCAAAAACTATTTTTTTTTTGTTTAGAACTTAACTTTCATTTCCGGTCATTTTCCTAGCTAAATCTTGTACTTGAATGACTATGAGCCTATTGAACAGCTTTTGTGATAAATTTATATTGCGTATGACTTTGGGGTTGATTGAGAAAAATAATGAAGCCATGATGGCTGGAAAAGTAAGCAAATTTAGGGGAAATGCTGTCCAAATTTCTAGGCCGTTTAGTCTCTTTAGGTTTGAGTTGCCTTTTGAAAGAAATGAAGGGCTTTTGGGTCATTCAAACCCTAGGTCCTCCCGTTACTTTTGTTTCCAAAAACATCATGTTTTGCACCCTTGCATTAGTAATTATTTGGCGAGACATACGACTAGTAGTCGAGCCTCACTTGTGCATTCTGTTTACTCGATTTTGGATTTGAAACCTTCAATTGTTTTACTTTGGTTCGTTTAGGGTTTCTTGGCGATTAAAGCCAGTTTGAAGTGAAACTTTTTGGAAGTATCCTTACTTGGACCGGTGAATGTACCACTCCCCTCACTTGTTGTTTAACTCGATTTCTGTACATGCAATCTGTGATATGAACGTCTGAACTATCTGTTTATTTTGTTTGAGACGAAGGTGTACTTTATCACACTCGTTCTCTTGGTTGTTCATATGCCAATTTTTGGTGCAAATCTGAATCTGTATCTGTATCTGTATCTGTCCTGATGTCGTTTGGAAGCTGGTATCCAACGACCATTCTGTGACCTCTGAACTCAACACCTGTGGCTAGTTACTCGAGTCGGGCCAGCAAGGACCTGGTTGATTAGATAACGAACCACGGTAGTCTGTTTTGGGATCTTTGGGTATTAAGACCTTTGATTCCGGTATACTCGAGTATTACCATTTCTGAACTGATTGGAGTTCGGGCCCGGTAGGGGTATGTGAGGTGGAAGGAATCGGAGAAAGTGGAGTCTACGGTATTGGTTACTTCTTTAATGTTGACGGAGTGTCAACTATTATTTCGATCAAGTTCGGTGAAGCAAATGGGAATTTGGCTCTTGAGAGCCGCCCATATCCTTTCTGTCTATGGTGTTTGTTCATTTCTTATTTGACTCGCATATGTGATTAATTGAATATGAAGTTCCACGTTTCTATTTGCTATTATTTTGGTACCTCATTGAGCGTAAGCTCACCCCCTTCCCGTTATCTTTGTTTTCCTTACAGGGAACCACTTTTGGGGCTAAGATGTTTTGAAGCACGAGTCGAGCAAGATTTAATATACTTTTGTAAAGCTCCTCGATAGTTGGAAAACCCTAAATGTATTTTGATCTAAGCATCTTCTTTTGTTCCGTAAATTACAAACGTATGTGTATAAGACTATTTACCTGTTCATGTATCCCAGTTGGATTGGCAATGTTTTCCCGAGTTATATGACCACATCTGTATTCGTTTGGCCCCTGGTTGGATGGTGACGTGGCAACCACTATTCATGGTGGTTTAGATTTTAGTTTTGCCCTTTGGTGACTTTGAATCGTTTGAGCGCGCTATTTCCTTCCTGAACGTTTTCGATTTCATTTAACAGCTCGATAGTCCTGGCGAGAGCTGGGCAGGCAGTCTGCTGAACACTTTGGTTCGCCTTAGGGTAAGGTGGGGCTGTCACATGTGGTATCAGAGCCACTCCGGGTGGTCTCTGCGCGGAGAGAGCTTGGGTCAAGTGGTGTTATGGTCCTGCTTTCGTGAATGTGTTAAAAGGTATAAGTGCTCTTTTGAGCGTAAGCTGTGAACCGTGCATGTCATGAGTGTAAAGATCTTTATCATGGGACTTGAGGAAGTTAGGCATGTTTGTTGACTGGGAATCTTTAATATAGATGATTTACTCTTGGGACCGGCCGACACGAGCTTTGAATTATCGTAGATGGGATTCTTGCGCTCGAATACAAAAGAAATGAGTGCCTAGGTTAGAAAGGACTTCGACGAACTAGAAATGTGATTCGATGGAACTTTGCGCAGTTTGTTCGGGTATTGTTAAGCATGATCAACATTGATTAAGATATAAATGGTGTTGTTCTCGTAGATTAAGGACAGAGCCCTATGGGGGAAAAGCTTTTCGTTAGTTATTCTTGTACTTGTGACTTAGTTTGTCTATAGTACTTTTGGATGACCCCGCTGCTTTCATGGATTTTTCATATTTGTATCTAATTGATTGCTACTGTGTGGCTTGTTTGGTACAGTTATGTTATATATCTATGCTTTTGATCTGTGCGTAACTCTTGCTACTTGCTTTTGCCTATCTAGGTTTAATATTATATTCCCGTTTCGACCCTGGATTGATTGACCAATGGAAGACACTCGTAGTGGACGGGGCTGTGGGCGTGGAATTAGGTAACCTACATCTGAGAGGGGCACTGGAGAAACCTCATATGGACCAAACCCTGAACCTAGGGTTGACCCCAACGTCCAAATAGCTGCTGCCATGCAGCAAATGACTGATTTGCTTGCCCAAGTAGTGCACCAACAGGGTCAAAACCCTAACTCCAACCCTGGGAACCCTGGTAATCACATAGAGGGCGAGGATAGAGCCCTTAAGAGATTTCAGAAGTTCTTCCCACCCAAATTTCTTGGAGGCCCTCATCCTGACGTGGCTGAGAAGTGGCTGGAGAAGTTGATCAATATTTTTGCTGCTTTACACTATACCGAGGAGAGACAGGTGACATTTGCTGTCTTTCAACTAGAGGGAGTCGCCGTTCCTGGTGGAATGTCATTCGAATGAAATGGGAAGGAGAACAAACCCCAAAGACGTGGGTGAATTTTATGAGAGAATTTAACGCTAAGTTTTTCCCTCCTCTAATCCAAGAAAAGAAGGAAGATGAATTCATTCGGTTTCGCCAGGGAACTCAAACCGTAGCCAAGTATGAGAGTCAATTCACTCGATTGTCTAAGTTTGCGCCCGAACTGATCGTAACCGAACAAAGACGAATAAGACATTTTATTCAGGGACTAAATATTGAGATTCAAAAGGATTTGGCGGTAGCTCAACTTAATACCTTTAGTGATACTGTGGAGAAAGCCCAGCGGGTTGAAGATGCGAGGCTACACTTTAGAAACTTCCAAATCAAGAAAAGGGGCTTTCCTGGGAGCAGTTCAGAACAAGCGGATAAGAGTACAACCCTTAAAGTTGGAAAAGGAAATGGGGGAGTACGGCTACCGGAGGTGTCAGGTAGTGTCCCATAGGGGGGATCAGTCTTTGCTACTCGTGGTGTGAATATTGCGGAGGGCCAAATCATACGGAAGCAAATTGCTGGAAGAAAGAAGGAAAATGCTTAAGCTGTGGAAGCGCCGAACATCGGATTGCTAACTGTCCAGCTCGCTTGCGCGGGCGGAGAGGAACTCTGCCACCAACACGACCAACCCTGACCCGTCAAAGGGGGACAAGAATGGATCGATAGTGTCATCTCGGGTGTACTCCTTAAAACAACATCAAGT